AATATAAGACAAAGTATAATCCTAGTGAAATTGTCTGGTAATCTGGTTGTCTTAGTTTTAGCTTCATAGCAAACGGGTCATCCCATCTTTGCTCCGCTCCTGTGCCAACAAAAAACACACAGAATGTTTATCACAGTCCCTTGTGGAAAAATTGACAGACTGCTGTCTCAGCATATCTAGCATCAGCAGTTGCCTACGCAATCAACTTTAATCACACACGGGCACCACCAACTTTGCGATGACATGCATTGCGCCATTTTGTTGGTCACAGTTGAAAAAAACATTTCAAATGAAATCCGCAGTTCACAGTGTCACGCCATGCATTCAACTCGGAAGCTGAGCGACGAAACTATATCCAGTCTACAAATGGAGCAAAAATGCATCAGCCACCGTCCAGCAGAAGTAAATATTTGCCTCGGCTCCAAACAGTGCCCCTGCCTAGCGTCCATTTTGACCGGAAGCCGGAAAAGTGAAATAAAGACCAAAATACTCAGAACATAAAACAGAGCAAACAAATGACCATCACATGGAGCATGAGAGGAGCACTTGGCTGAGATATTTGGAGCATGAGAGGAGCACTTGGCTGAAATAGATGGAGCATGAGAGGAGCACTTGGCTGAGATGGAGCATGAGAGGAGCACTTGGCTGAGATATTTGGAGCATGAGAGGAGCACTTGGCTGAAATAGTTGGAGCATGAGAGGAGCACTTGGCTGAAATAGTTGGAGCATGAGAGGAGCACTTGGCTGAAATAGTTGGAGCATGAGAGGAGCACTTGGCTGAAATAGTTGGAGCATGAGAGGAGCACTTGGCTGAAATAGTTGGAGCATGAGAGGAGCACTTGGCTGAAATAGTTGGAGCATGAGAGGAGCACTTGGCTGAAATAGTTGAAGCATGAGAGGAGCACTTGGCTGAAATAGATGGAGCATGAGAGGAGCACTTGGCTGAGATGGAGCATGAGAGGAGCACTTGGCTGAAATAGTTGGAGCATGAGAGGAGCACTTTCCTGAGATATTTAGAGAACAAGAGATGCACTTGGCTGAGATATTTGGAGCATGAGAGGAGCACTTGGATGAGATAGTTGAAGCATGAGAGGAGCACTTGGCTGAGATATTTGGATCATGAGAGGAGCACTTGGCTGAGATATTTGGAGCATGAGAGGAGCACTTGGCTGAGATAGATAGAGCATGAGAGGAGCACTTGGCTGACATAGTTGAAGCATGAGAGGAGCACTTGGTTGAGATATTTGGAGCATGAGAGGAGTTCTTGGCTGAGGTAGTTAGAGCAGGAGAGAGGAGCACTTGGCTGAGGTGGAGCATGAGAGGAGCACTTGGTTGAGATATTTGGAGCATGAGATGAGTTCTTGGCTGAGGTAGTTAGAGCAGGAGAGAGGAGCACTTGGCTGAGATAGTTGGAGCAGGAGAGAGGAACACTTGGCTGAGGTGGAGCAGGAAAGAGGAGCACTTGGCTGAGATAGTTGGAGCAGGAGGGGAGCACTTGGCTGAGATAGTTGGAGCATGAGAGGAGAATCACTTGGCTGAGATAGTTGGAGCATGAGAGAAAAAGCACTTACCTGAGGTGGAGCAGGAGGGGAGCACTTGGCTGAGATAGTTGCTGCAGGAGAGCGGAGCACTTGGCTGAGATAGTTGGAGCATGAGAGGAGCACTTGGCTGAGATAGTTGCTGCAGGAGAGGTGGAAGAAGAGCAGGAAAAACTGGACCTAAGCGTACTTCTTAAAGCAACAGTTGTATACAACATGCAACAAAGAGTAATACATGTAACTTTGTAACTGTTGTTTGCCTCACCATGATGTTGCAATATAGTGACATTGAGCCTGCAGCAAATGTAACCTTGTAACTGCAGTCTGTTTGACTTTGAGCCTGCAGCTTATGTAACCGTTCCCCATAAACATCGTTGTGACCGGAGGTTTTAACTTTAGACAGAAATATGTGGAGCTCTTTAGAATGATATCACTGTTGGTGGACTGGTATAATTATCACATTCTGAATGGAAAACAAGCAAAAACTGCTACAACTATCTCAGCCATGTGCTTCTCTCATGCTCCAAATATCTCACTGAAGTGCTCCTCCTCTCATGCTCTAACTATCTCATCTAAGTGCTCCTCCTCTCATGCTCTAACTATCTCACCGAAGTGCTCCTCTCATGCTCCAACTATCTCACCAAAGTGCTCCTCCTCTCATGCTCCAACTATCTCACCCAAGTGCTCCTCCTCTCATGCTCCAACTATCTCACCCAAGTTCTCCTCTTCTCATGCTCCAACTATCTCACCCAAGTGCTCCTCCTCTCATGCTCTATCTATCTCACCCAAGTGCTCCTCCTCTCCTGCTCTAACTATCTCACCCAAGTGCTCCTCCTCTCATGCTCTAACTATCTCACCCAAGTGCTCCTCCTCTCATGCTCCAACTATCTCACCCAAGTGCTCCTCCTCTCATGCTCTAACTATCTCACCCAAGTGCTCCTCCTCTCATGCTCTAACTATCTCACCCAAGTTCTCCTCCTCTCATGCTCCAACTATCTCACCCAAGTGCTCCTCCTCTCATGCTCCAACTATCTCACCCAAGTCCTCCTCTCATGCTCCAACTATCTCACCCAAGTGCTCCTCCTCTCATGCTCTAACTATCTCACCCAAGTGCTCCTCCTCTCATGCTCCAACTATCTCACCCAAGTGCTCCTCCTCTCATGCTCTAACTATCTCACCCAAGTGCTCCTCCTCTCATGCTCTAACTATCTCACCCAAGTGCTCCTCCTCTCATGCTCCAACTATCTCACCCAAGTGCTCCTCCTCTCATGCTCTAACTATCTCACCCAAGTGCTCCTCCTCTCATGCTCTAACTATCTCACCCAAGTTCTCCTCCTCTCATGCTCCAACTGTCTCACCCAAGTGCTCCTCCTCTCATGCTCTAACTATCTCACCCAAGTGCTCTTCCTCTCATGCTCTAACTCTCACCCAAGTGCTCCTCCTCTCATGCTCTAACTATCTCACCCAAGTGCTCCTCCTCTCCTGCTCCAACTACCTCACCTAAGTGCTCATCCTCTCATGCTCTAACTATCTCACCCAAGTGCTCTTCCTCTCATGCTCCAACTATCTCACCTAAGTGCTCATCCTCTCATGCTCTAACTATCTCACCCAAGTGCTCTTCCTCTCATGCTCTAACTATCTCACCCAAGTGCTCCTCCTCTCATGCTCTAACTATCTCACCCAAGTTCTCCTCCTCTAATGCTCTAACTATCTCACCCAAGTTCTCCTCTCATGCTCTAACTATCTCACCCAAGTTCTCCTCTCATGCTCTAACTATCTCACCCAAGTTCTCCTCCTCTCATGCTCCAACTATCTCACCCAAGTTCTCCTCTCATGCTCCAACTATCTCACCCAAGTTCTCCTCCTCTCATGCTCCAACTATCTCACCCAAGTTCTCCTCTCATGCTCCAACTATCTCACCCAAGTTCTCCTCTCATGCTCTAACTATCTCACCCAAGTTCTCCTCTCATGCTCCAACTATCTCACCCAAGTTCTCCTCTCATGCTCCAACTATCTCACCCAAGTTCTCCTCTCATGCTCTAACTATCTCACCCAAGTGCTCCTCCTCTCATGCTCTAACTATCTCACCCAAGTGCTCCTCCTCTCATGCTCTAACTATCTCACCCAAGTGCTCCTCCTCTCATGCTCTAACTATCTCACCCAAGTGCTCCTCCTCTCATGCTCTAACTATCTCACCCAAGTGCTCCTCCTCTCATGCTCTAACTATCTCACCCAAGTGCTCCTCCTCTCATGCTCCAACTATCTCACCCAAGTTCTCCTCCTCTCATGCTCTAACTATCTCACCCAAGTTCTCCTCCTCTCATGCTCCAACTATCTCACCCAAGTTCTCCTCCTCTCATGCTCCAACTATCTCACCCAAGTTCTCCTCCTCTCATGCTCCAACTATCTCACCCAAGTTCTCCTCCTCTCATGCTCCAACTATCTCACCCAAGTTTCTCCTCCTCTCATGCTCACCCAACTATCTCACCCAACTATTCACCCTCCTCCTCTCATGCTCCAACTATCTCACCCAAGTTCTCTCTCCTCTCATGCTCTCAACTATCTCACCCAAGTTCTCCTCCTCTCATGCTCCAACTATCTCACCCAAACACATATACATACTCAGACACAGAAACAGACATATGTACATACTGAGACACACAGGTACATATAAATAATCAGACACACAAACAGACACAGATACATACTCAGACACACAAACAGACACATATACATACTGAGACACACAGGCACATATAAATAATCAGACACACAAACAGACACAGATACATACTCAGACACAAACATACACATATACATAATCAGACACACAAACAAACACATATAAATACTCAGACACACAAACAGACACATATATGAACTCAGACACACACACACATACACCAGATTTTGGTTTTGCAAAACCTAATCAGTTTGAGACCTGACTTGGGAACAAGCATTGAACTTTGATGGCTGTAGGTGAAAGTGTGGCCATCTTGGGAACAAGCATTGAACTTTGATGGCTGTAGGTGAAAGTGTGACCATCTTGGGAACAAGCATTGAACTTTGATGGCTGTAGGTGAAAGTGTGACCATCTTGGGAACAAGCATTGAACTTTGATGGCTGTAGGTGAAAGTGTGACCATCTTGGGGGAAACAGTCATGTCTGGTTTAGAAGAGAGAGAGAGACAGAGAGAGAGACAGAGAGAGACAGAGAGACAGACAGACAGAGAGAGAGAGACAGAGAGAGACAGAGAGAGAAAGAAAGAGAGACAGAGAGAGAGCCATAGAGAGAGAGACAGAGAGAGACAGAGAGACAGAGAGACAGAGATAGAGCAATAGAGAGAGAGACAGAGAGAGAGAGACAGAGAGAGAGACGAGAGAGAGAGAAAGAGAGAGAGGGTGAGAAAGAGAGAGAGATATTAGTCACAGCTTCTGACAGACTTCTTGGACACTGTTGCAGCTGGCAGGGGACATCACCCAGCAGATTCAGGAAACAGAACAGCAACACAAAGAGACTTGCCAGAAACTTAGTCAGACTCTTGCACAAGTGCAGCCACATCATCAGACTCTCCAGGTATGTCAGATGTCACAACTTTCCATGTATGTCAAGTGTCACCACTTTCCAGGTAGGTCAAGTGTCACCACTGTCCAGTTATGTCAGGTATTACCTCTGTCTCGGTATGTCAGGTGTCACCACTGTCCAGGTATGACAGGTGTCACCACTGTCTAGGTATGTCAGGTGACACCACTGTCCAGATATGTCAGGTGTCACCACTGTCCAGATATGTCAGGTGTCACCACTGTGCAGATATGTCAGGTGTCACCACTGTCTAGGTATGTCATGTGTCACCGCTGTCTAGGTATGTCAGGTGTCACCGCTGTCCAGATATGTCAGGTGTCACCACTGTCTAGGTATGTCATGTGTCACCACTACAGATGTCACCACTGTCTAGATATGTCAGGTGTCACCACTGTCTAGATATGTCAGGTGTCACCACTGCCCAAATATGTCAGATGTCACCACTGCCCAGGTATGTCAGATGTCACCACTGCCCAGGTATGTCAGATGTCACCACTGCCCAGGTATGTCAGATGTCACCACTGCCCAGATATGTCAGATGTCACCACTGCCCAGATATGTCAGATGTCACCACTGCCAAGATATGTCAGATGTCACCACTGCCAAGATATGTCAGATGTCACCACTGCCAAGATATGTCAGATGTCACCACTGTCCAGATATGTCAGATGTCACCACTGCCCAGATATGTCAGGTATCACCACTGCCCAGGTATGTCAGATGTCACCACTGCCCAGGTATGTCAGGTGTCACCACTGTCCAGGTATGTCAGGTGTCACCACTGCCCAGGTATGTCAGGTGTCACCACTGCCCAGATATGTCAGATGTCACCACTGCCCAGGTATGTCAGATGTCACCACTGCCCAGGTATGTCAGATGTCACCACTGCCCAGGTATTTCAGATGTCACCACTGCCCAGGTATGTCAGGTGTCACACTGCCCAGGCATGTCAGATGTCACCACTGCCCAGGTATGTCAGATGTCACCACTGCCCAGGTATGTCAGGTGTCACCACTGTCCAGGTATGTCAGGTGTCGCCACTGTCCAGGTATGTCAGGTGTCACCACTGTCCAGGTATGTCAGGTGTTACCACTGCCCAGGTATGTCAGGTGTCACCACTGCTCAGGTATGTCAGATGTCACCACTGTCCAGGTATGTCAGATGTCACCACTGCCCAGGTATGTCAGGTGTCACCACTGTCCAGGTATGTCAGGTGTCACCACTGTCCAGGTATGTCAGGTGTCACCACTGCCCAGGTATGTCAGGTGTCACCAGTGCCCAGGTATGTCAGGTGTCACCACTGCCCAGGTATGTCAGATGTCACCACTGTCCAGATATGTCAGGTGTCACCACTGCCCAGGTATGGCAGATGTCACCACTGCCCAGGTATGTCAGGTGTCACCACTGTCCAGGTATGTCAGATGTCACCACTGTCCAGGTATGTCAGGTGTCACCACTGTCCAGGTATGTCAGGTGTCACCACTGCTCAGGTATGTCAGGTGTCACCACTGTCCAGGTATGTCAGGTGTCACCACTGCTCAGGTATGTCAGGTGTCACCACTGCCCAGGTATGTCAGATGTCACCACTGTCCAGGTATGTCAGGTGTCACCACTGTCCAGGTATGTCAGGTGTCACCACTGCCCAGGTATGTCAGGTGTCACCACTGCCCAGGGATGTCAGGTGTCACCTAGAATTATACCAGATCTGGCTTCTCTTCCCTTACTGCTTCTGGTATCTTCTTCAAATCTAAATTGTAAGAAATCAAGTCAAAAACGTTTCTCATTGTCAGTGAAGTGTACAAATATAATTACACCCCCCCCTCCCCGCCCCGCCCCAATCAGCCTTAAGCTTATTTACCGCATGCACAAGGTGATCCTCTACCAGCGCCCCTCCCCCCCTAAAACAATCCAAAATGGTGTGCATTCACTTCTTAGTTGATTCTTTTTTATTGTCTTTACCGAAATATCCTGAATGTTGTTTGTTCAAGCCTGGGATATCTAGTTTGTGGTGAGAAATTACCGACTGACGTGTTTGTGTGATTTTTTTTAATGTATACTTGGAGACAGAATAGACCTGATCAGGGCAACAGCACAAAGTACTGGTACCTTTTTATTTCAGGCATTTATTTTAGCACTGCTGTGATAGACACTTTGTTATGAGTACAGCACCTTCTTTTTACAGGCTGATTGAATGAAGCACATGTTTGGTCAACTAATGACTTGTCTATCAACTTTCAGACTGACCTCAAGTCTGTGAATAAAAACATGCGTCTTGATAACTAATCAGTTGTTTATCAACTTTCAGCCTGAGTGAATAAAACATATGACTGGACAACTAATAAGATGTCTATCCACTTTCAGCCTGATGAATGAAACACGTGTCTGGTCAACTAAAAAGATGTCTATCAAATTTCAGGCTGACCTCCAGTTAGTGAATGAAACATATGTCTGGTCAACTAATGTATATCAACTTTCAGGCTGAGTGAATGAAACACATGTCTAGTCAACTAATAAGTTGTCTATTAACTTTCAGGCTGAGTGAATGAAACACATGTCTAGTCAACTAATAAGTTGTCTATTAACTTTCAGGCTGAGTGAATGAAACACATGTCTAGTCAACTAATAAGTTGTCTATTAACTTTCAGGCTGAGTGAATGAAACACATGTCTAGTCAACTAATAAGTTGTCTATTAACTTTCAGGCTGAGTGAATGAAACACATGTCTAGTCAACTAATAAGTTGTCTATTAACTTTCAGGCTGAGTGAATGAAACACATGTCTAGTCAACTAATAAGATGTCTATCCACTTTCAGCCTGATGAATGAAACACATGTCTAGTCAACTAATAAGTTGTCTATTAACTTTCAGGCTGACCTCCAGTCAGTGAATCAGCAGCTGCAGACCATGGAAGCAAACTCTTCAATGATGAAAAACAAAATTGAAGAAATGGATGCAGCACAGGCTATGATGGACAGATTTGTGACAAAAGCAGAAAATGAGATCCAGATTTTGACGTTAGTTGATACATGGCTAGTGCATGAGTTGTTTTTGTTGACTTTATTGTTATTATGGCTCTCCTCCGAACTTTGTCCCCATATTATGACGGCCAAACAAATACCCTAATAGCGCCTCAGTTGTATGTAAAATGTGGAGTGCCTGCCAATGAACAATTCACGGCAAAACTAGGATTGCCCCCGAATAATGGGCCAAGATTAGTGTACGGCTCTTATTTGTCTCCATTACCGTACGATGATATTCTGTTCATAAATTCGGCCGTGAGGTGTAGTCCCGGATCCATGCCGTACAAATTCCAAGTAAACTAATTTCTAGGGGTAACCAATGACCAAGACCAACGGCGGGCAGAAAAACGCCATAACAAAGTCAACCGTTGAAACTGCTACAAACACGTCGTTGACAGGCAAATCAAAGACATTTATTTGAACAATTCCTCACAGATATAAATGGCGTCAATGAAATGCATACATTACAGTCACTGTATCAAATGACGGTTAGCTAATTACTTTCCTCCAATCCGGAGCAATGAGCCTCAGCTCCTCACAGACTGCGGCATCCAGTAGAATAACTTTCACCTCTAAGCCAGAGTACAGAGCCTAAACTCCCCGCCAACTGCGGCATCAAGTAGAATACAGCTAAGCCTAGTTTCCAACCTCTGCCATTAACACATTTTTTGCAACTGTCATCTGTCTAAACATTTCTGTCGGCAAGTGACGTCGTGTCCTCGTCATACCTCATGTTCATTATCGTTTGCCCGTAGTGTGGATCTTCAGATTGCACACAACAATTAGCAAGGGCAAACAAATACTCTAAAAGGGTCTCAGCGATATGTTAATTGCATACCTGTTTTTGCGACTATGCCGCCGACAGTATCCTCCTCGCCACTACCCACGGCGTGGATGGGGGACTGAACTAGATGGCTGGGACTCGCGAGAAACAATTTTTTAAGGAAGTTGCAGAAGATGTGGTAGCTGCTTCTCGTGAGTTCCAGCCATCTAGTTTAGATCCCCCCCCCCCATCCGCACCATGCGTAGCTTCGCGGGAATACGCTCAGCGGTGAGTTTAATCAGAAGAACACTATCGCTAACCTGCGTCAGAGCGCGTGGTCTCCCTGCCATAGCGCTATTGTCGTGTGTATTGTTGCGTTTCTCAAAATTGTCAACCTACAGTAATCCTAGTTTTGCTGTGATGTGTTCGTCAGGGCAAGTTCACATTTTACACACGACTGAGCCCTGTTAGGGTATTTGTTTGGCTGCCAAAATATGGGGACGAAGTTCGGAGGAGAGCCATTATTATAATTTTTTTTGGGGGTGGTATTATTTTTTTTTTTTGAATGTTACAGTAAGCATTCAATTTAGAGACTTTATTGTAAATATTGTTAATATGTTTATTTTAACCCACATACGCATGAACACATGAACATACTAGAACACTCGCTCACATATACCTTATGTGTATACATGTAGTTCCTGGAGCATCGTGCGCGTCTGTAGAAAAGCAGTTTTTTTAACCGTCTCACCCTGAACAAAAGTGTTTACAAATCATGATGCCAAAAGGATTCTTGAAAAATGTTAAAAAACAAAACTATTTTGACACAGGTCACTTAAAAATTTGCTTTAATGCATTCATTGGCATTTTAGAATTTTGTTCAAAATATTTAAAGACACATGGACGAACGAACTAAGCAATAAACACGTACAGGGCACAGCATTCATTTGAATACATCCCCCGGCGCCTAATAAGCACACATGGCTGGCACTGTGGAGTTATCTGGGCTATTATCCACAGATTTGGGTGGCAATGTAGAGATATCTGGGGAATTATCCACAGATTTGGGTGGCAATGTGGAGATATCTGGGGAATTATCCACAGATTTGGGTGGCAATGTAGAGATATCTGGGGAATTATCCACAGATTTGGGTGACAGTGTAGAGATATCTGGAGAATCATCCACACATTTGGGTGGCACAGTGGAGATATCTGGGAAATTATATCCACACATTTGGGTGGCAATGTGGAGATATCTGGGAAATTATATCCACACATTTGGGTGGCAATGTGGAGATATCTGGGAAATTATATCCACATATTTGGGTGGCAATGTGGAGATATCTGGGAAATTATATCCACACATTTGGGTGGCAATGTGGAGATATCTGGGAAATTATATCCACACATTTAGGTGGCACAGTGGAGATATCTGGGGGACAGACAGAGACACTAAGGGAAACATACAAAAGGCAATTAGAGCTTTTATAGCAGTAGCAAATTTGTGAAAGTAAAAAGACATCAAATCTACCTCAGACCTGAAATCTGGAATATTACCTCTAAGGTCACAACAGCAGTAGAGTATTGTGAGACCTCAAAGGTTACAACAGCAGTAGAGTATTGTGAGACCTCAAAGGTCACAACAGCAGTAGAGTATTGTGAGACCTCAAAGGTTACAACAGCAGTATAATTTGTGTGAGACCTCAAAGGTTACAATAGCAGTAGAGTATTGTGAGACCTCAAAGGTTACAATAGCAGTAGAGTATTGTGAGACCTCAAAGGTTACAATAGCAGTAGAGTATTGTGAGACCTCAAAGGTTACAACAGCAGTAGAGTATTGTGAGACCTCAAAGGTTACAACAGCAGTATAATTTGTGTGAGACCTCAAAGGTTACAACAGCAGTAGAGTATTGTGTGAGACCTCAAAGGTTACAATAGCAATAGAGTATTGTGAGACCTCAAAGGTTACAACAGCAGTAGAGTATTGTGTGAGACCTTAAAGGTTACAACAGCAGTAGACTATTGTGAGACCTCAAAGGTTACAATAGCAGTAGAGTATTGTGGATACAAAATATGGAGACCAGGTAAAGTCATTGGTCATCAGTAGCAAGCATTCATTAATGTGTGCCCACACCAAAAAGACATTGCAAGAGAAGGCTGTCCTCGCCGCCTATAGGTTACTGGTGGAGACTGTTAAACACAATTCAGTCAATGAGAGAGGGGAAGGACTTTTGTTGTTGTTGTTGTTGTTGTTGCTAGGACACACATTAAGAAACTACAGTCCTTCATGACACATGACATGACACATGACACATGACACATGGCACATGACACAGGACACATGACACATGGCACATGACATATAACACATGGCACCTGACACACGACACATGACACATGAATGAAATGGTCTCTCTTGACAACTGTAGGTCTGAGATGCAGGAACAGGAGCTTCAACTGGATGCTGGACGAAAGATTGTCAATGATCTCCGCCATCGGCTTGATGAGACTCTAGGTGAGAGCATCTTCACTTGATTTGCCACCATCTTGTCCTTTGTAGACAGTCATACTGTGACCGGACATTACAGCTTGTCTCTGCAGGTCAGACTTGACAAGGTGAAGGTAACTCTACAGACCAGACTTGACAAGGTGAGGTAACTCTACAGACCAGACTTGACAAGGTGAAGGTAACTCTACAGGCCAGACTTGACAAGGTGAAGGTAACTCTACAGACCAGACTTGACAAGGTGAAGGTAACTCTACAGACCAGACTTGACAAGGTGAAGGTAACTCTACAGGCCAGACTTGACAAGGTGAATGTTACTCCACAGGACAGCATGTCAGGAGTCAGAGGGTACCAGAATATAAGGGACCTCTATAACCTCAGGTAGAATGGAAAGAGGGAATGAGATCAAATAATAAATAAGTGAATGTTCACTTGTCTGCGAACGTCATGTGCTAGATGAGCTTGTGGACTTCACTGCCAGGAGGTTAACATTGTTATTTGTAAATATTTCTCCCAGAACGTTTGCGAGGCAGTGAAAGCCAGCACAAACATCTGCTTAGTCAAAGACAAGAAGTTCTCAACAAACATGAGGTAAGTTTTTAAAGCAAAAACTGTACACATATAGTTCTGATTGTTGAAGCCACGGTGTAAGCAAAATTTTACACATATAGTTCCAGTTGTGGAAGCCATGGTGAAAGCAAAACTGTACACATATAGTTCCAGTTGTGGAAGCCATGGTGTAAGCAAAACTGTACACATATAGTTCTGATTGGGGAAGCCATGGTGTAAGAAAAACTGTACACATATAGTTCTGATTGGGGAAGCCATGTTGTAAGCAAAACTGTACACATATAGTTCTGATTGGAGAAGCCATTGTGTAAGCAAAACTGTACACATATAGTTCTGATTGGAGAAGCCATTGTGTAAGCAAAACTGTACACATATAGTTCTGATTGTGGAAGCCATTGTGTAAGCAAAACTGTACACATATAGTTTTGATTGTGGAAGCCAGGGTTGCTGACCAGTGGGCATGACTGCTTGCTGGCCCTGTAATCATTTGCTTGAATGTCCGTCTAGGTGGGAATTAATTGCACATACTGAGTTCACAGACTGTCCAGCATAAAGTGGGTATGAGATCATTTTCTATGAAGTAAAGGCAACCTACATGATGTTTGTGATGTCAGCCATTGAGTGCCAGATGGCTTAAACATCTGGAACTATCATTAAATACTCAACAGTCTACATTTTGTGTGTCACATCCATCATGCTGATTATTTGTTTCAGCACCATCTTTACAACTGTTTTTGTTTGTAAGGTTTTGTCTTTTTTTAAAGAATGAAGATGTCAGCCGTTACAATGTCATATGTTGATTTTCTGACCTGATAAATGATTACAAATCTTTGATGAACCTTTGTGTTCTTTAATCCCTTGATATAATGTCTCCTTGATTTTCTTGCAACTCACGGAGCAGAGGGACAGAGCTTTGTTCATGGAGAAAAACCAGCAACTGGCAGCCAAGTACAGGCAGCTGCAGATGGACTACTTGCTCCGCAAGGAGCTGATGCTGAAAAGCTATGATGAGAGAGTCAAAGGGGAAGCAGCAATTACAGACATGAAGCAGGTACTGACACTACTTCCTGTTTACTGCTTCTGTTTTTAATTATGTGACAGAAACTATACTGTAAACTACAAATCAGCCAAAACTGAGAATCAATCATGAAGACATTTTGTAGTCATTTCTGCTGGTGCAAGTCATCTGACCAAGTTTCACAAGATGTAGACAGCACATACTTGATCACCATTATCGTCATCAATTGCCTTGCCAACTTTATCTGTTGATGTGTGGACATAACTCCATACTTTGACACAAAACTGTTAAGAATCGTTTCTTGTCCCCTTCCTCTGACTCTTTTTCCACAGGTCTTTTCAGTTGTCACAACATGTTTTACAGTTTCCTTCCTCTGAAAGCATGGCAACAAAATGGCGACCGCCTCTTTCTGATACAGACTTGATAAACAAGGGTTTTAACAGTAAGCTTTCTGCTCTTCAAAACTCTTGTTAGTTAATCTGCGTATTGTTGTCGCTGCTTGACCTATCCTGATGTTGATTTCTTTGTGTGGGTTTGTTATTGACCAAGGATCCTAGGAATATCAAGCGGTCAACTGCCTTCAGCTCTTGACCATCAATGAATATTACATTTCTGTCATTAACACCTTGCATCAGAATTGTTGTCTTCTTTTTGCTGATTGTTTGCCAAATTTCTTCTTCTTCTTGATGTTGGGTGGCTGTAAAATCTGGCAAGTTCTGGTTGTCTTCCACTTCTGACTTTAGTCTTGTTGCAGAACTTGAGTTTTGCCTGCACATCTGTTTTCACAGATCTGGTTTATTTGTATGCAGACTGTTGGTTGCTTGCCTCTCAGGCAGTCCGACTTGAAAGGAAAGCCCTACTTGGTCGACTCGAATGATATGTTTGTTATGAATACAGTGGGTCTATTCTTTGTTCTCACTCTCAGTGGGGCCCCTCTTAACTCTCTTGAGGAGTTCCTCCTAATTCATCAATAAGAGAATGCAGAGAGTGAAATGTGCAGCATCATCTGTGGTTGGTTGTAACTGCAGCATCATCTGTGGTTGGCTGTAACTGCAGCATCATCTGTGGTTGGCTGTAACTGCAGCATCATCTGTGGTTGGTTGTAACTGCAGCATCATTTGTGGTTGGCTTTAACTGCAGCATCATCTGTGGTTGGCTGTAACTGAAGCATCATCTCTGGTTAGTTGTAACTGCAGCATCATCTGTGGTTGGCTGTAACTGCAGCATCATCTGTGGTTGGCTGTAACTGCAGCATCATCTGTGGTTGGCTGTAACTGCAGCATCATCTGTGGTTGGCTGTAACTGCAGCATCATTTGTGGTTGGCTTTAACTGCAGCATCATCTGTGGTTGGCTGTAACTGAAGCATCATCTCTAGTTAGTTGTAACTGCAACATCATCTGTGGTTGGCTGTAATTGAAGCATCATCTCTGGTTAGTTGTAACTGCAGCATCATCTGTGGTTAGCTGTAACTGCAGCATCATCTGTGGTTGGCTGTAACTGCAGCATCATCTGTGGTTGGCTGTAACTGCAGCAGTAACTGCAGCATCATCTCTGGTTGGTTGTAACTGCAGCAGTAACTGCAGCATCATCTGTGGTTGGCTGTAACTGCAGCATCATCTGTGGTTGGCTGTAACTGCAGCATCATCTCTGGTTAGCTGTAACTGCAGCATCATCTCTGGTTGGCTGCAGCATCATTTGTAGTTGGCTGTAACTGCAGCATCATTTGTGGTTGGCTGTAACTGAAGCATAATTTGTGGTTGGCTGTAACTGAAGCATAATTTGTGGTTGGCTGTAACTGAAGCATCATTTGTGGTTGGCTGTAACTGCAGCATCATTTGTGGTTGGCTGTAACTGCAGCATCATTTGTGGTTGGCTTTAACTGCAGCATCATTTGTGGTTGGCTGTAACTGCAGCATCATTTGTGGTTGGCTGTAACTGAAGCATCATTTGTGGTTGGCTGTAACTGCAGCATCATTTGTGGTTGGCTGTAACTGCAGCATCATTTGTGGTTGGCTTTAACTGAAGCATCATTTGTGGTTGGCTGTAACTGCAGCATCATTTGTGGTTGGCTGTAACTGCAGCATCATTTGTGGTTAGCTGTAACTGCAGCATCATTTGTGGTTAGCTGTAACTGCAGCATCATTTGTGGTTGGCTGTAACTGCAGCATCATTTGTGGTTGGCTGTAACTGCAGCATCATTTGTGGTTGGCTGTAACTGAAGCATAATTTGTGGTTGGCTGTAACTGAAGCATAATTTGTGGTTGGCTGTAACTGAAGCTTTCAATCTACAAGAATCGCATCGACCGCTATCGAAATCATCGTCATGCTGACGAGAATAGGTGGCCATCTTTTGCAGTCAACACAATCACCATAGTCCATATGGCCAAACCCTCAGTTACTTGCCCTTACCTTGTCCATATGGCCAAACCCTCAGTTACTTGCCCTTGCCTTGTCCATATAGCCAAACCATCAGTTACTTGCCCTTGCCTTGTCCATATAGCCAAACTATCAGTTACTTGCCCTTGCCTTGTCCATATGGCCAAACCATCAGTTACTTGCCCTTGCCTTGTCCATATAGCCAAACGATCAGTTACTTGCCCTTGCCTTGTCCATATAGCCAAACCATCAGTTACTTGCCCTTGCCTTGTCCATATAGCCAAACCATCAGTTACTTGCCCTTGCCTTGTCCATATGGCCAAACCATCAGTTACTTGCCCTTGCCTTGTCCATATAGCCACACCATCAGTTACTTACCCTTGCCTTGTCCATATAGCCAAACCATCAGTTACTTGCCCTTGCCTTGTCCATATAGCCAAACCATCAGCTACTTGCCCTTGCCTTGTCCATATAGCCAAACCATCAGTTACTTGCCCTTGCCTTGTCCATATAGCCAAACCATCAGTTACTTGCCCTTGCCTTGTCCATATGGCCAAACCATCAGTTACTTGCCCTTGCCTTGTCCATATAGCCAAACCATCAGCTAGTTGCCCTTGCCTTGTCCATATAGCCAAACCATCAGTTACTTGCCCTTGCCTTGTCCATATAGCCAAACCATCAGTTACTTGCCCTTGCCTTGTCCATATGGCCAAACCCTCAGTTACTTGCCCTTGCCTTGTCCATATAGCCAAACCATCAGTTACTTGCCCTTGCCTTGTCAATATAGCCAAACCATCAGTTACTTGCCCTTGCCTTGTCCATATGGCCAAACCATCAGTTACTTGCCCTTGCCTTGTCCATATAGCCAAACCATCAATTACTTGCCCTTGCCTTGTCCATATAGCCAAACCATCAGTTACTTGCCCTTGCCTTGTCCATATAGCCAAACCATCAGCTACTTGCCCTTGCCTTGTCCATATGGCCAAACCATCAATTACTTGCCCTTGCCTTGTCCATATAGCCAAACCATCAGTTACTTGCCCTTGCCTTGTCCATATAGCCAAACCATCAGCTACTTGCCCTTGCCTTGTCCATATAGCCAAACCATCAGTTACTTGCCCTTGCCTTGTCCATATAGCCAAACCATCAGTTACTTGCCCTTGCCTTGTCCATGTAGCCAAACCATCAGTTACTTGCCCTTGCCTTGCTCTTTTTCCATCTGAAAACACCAACACAGAAACCTGGCTAACATGGGCAGTCACATTTTTGTGTGTTCATAATCGTGGAGAGTTGTTGGGTTTATCTTGCTGCAGTTGGGTTGTCTTGCTGTGGTAGAGTTATTTATCTTGCTGGGGTTGAGTTATTTATCTTGCTGCGCTTGAGTTGTCTTGCTGGGGTTGAGTTGTTTATCTTGCTGCGGTTGAGTTATTTATCTTGCTGCTGTTGAGTTGTCTTGCTGGGGTTGAGTTGTTTATCTTTCTGCGTCTAAGTTGTCTTGCTGGGGTTGAGTTATTTATCTTGCTGCGGTTGAGTTTTTTATCTTGCTGCGGTTGAGTTATTTATCTTGCTGCGGTTGAGTTATTTATCTTGCTGGGGTTGAGTTATTTATCTTGCTGTGGGTGAGTTATTTATCTTGCTGCGGTTGAGTTATTTATCTTGCTGCGATTGAGTTATTTTTCTTTGCTGGGGTTGAGATATTTATTTTGCTGCGGTTGAGTTATTTATCTTGCTTCGGTGGAGTTATTTATCTTGCTGGGGTTGAATTATTTATCTTGCTGCGGTTGAGTTATATATCTTGCTGGGGTTGAGATATTTATCGTGCTGAGGTTGAGTTATTTATCTTGCTGGGGTTGAGTTATTTATCATGCTGAGGTTGAGTTATATATCTTGCTGGGGTTGAGATATTTATCGTGCTGAGGTTGAGTTATTTATCTTGCTTCGGTGGAGTTATTTATCGTGCTGAGGTTGAGTTATATATCTTGCTGGGATTGAGATATTTATCGTGCTGAGGTTGAGTTATTTATCTTGCTTCGGTGGAGTTATTTATCTTGCTGGGGTTGAGTTATTTGTCGTGCTGAGGTCTAGTTATTTATCTTGCTGCGGTTTAGTTATATATCTTGCTGGGGTTGAGTTATTTATCTTGCTGCGGTTGAGTTATATATCTTGCTGGGGTTGAGATATTTATCGTGCTGAAGTTGAGTTATTTATCTTGCTGGGGTTGAGTTGAGTTTTATCTTGGATGGGTGAGATTTTGACCATAGATATTCTTCCTCTGCTGCCTAACCCCCAGTGGAGCATAGGCCCTCAACCAACTCATGAGTTGGTTCGACTGTTCTGCCCTTTATTTTCCTTTCTTGCTGCTCTCCTCTTGCCATCCCCATGGTTTTAACTTCCCTTCCCCATGTATTCTTTTGTCTTCCTTTATTTCTATGCCCCAGTGGGTTCAATTGCAAAAGACATTCTTGTTATATTTTTCTTAAAGCTCTACATTAGTGATTCTATCATACCATTTAATTCCCTATATTTTGTGGAAGCACTAATTAAAGACTGTTTGTTCTGTGTAAAGTGTGGTAGCCACTGAAATCATATGTTCTGTGTCCGGTGAGGTGACCACAAACATCTTATGTTCTGTGTCAGGTGAGGTGACCACAAACATCTTATGTTCTGTGTAAGGTGAGGTGACCACAAACATCTTATGTTCTGTGTAAGGTGAGGTGATTACAAACATCTTATGTTCTGTGTCAGGTGAGGTGACCACTGACATCTTATGTTCTGTGTAAGGTGAGGTGACCACAAACATCTTATGTTCTGTGTAAGGTGAGGTGACCACAAACATCTTATGTTCTGTGTAAGGTGAGGTGATCACTGACATCTTATGTTCTGTGTAAGGTGAGGTGACCACTGACATTTTATGTTCTGTGTCAGGTGAGGTGACCATAAACATCTTATGTTCTGTGTCAGGTGAGGTGACCACTGACATTTTATGTTCTGTGTCAGGTGAGGTGACCACAAACATCTTATGTTCTGTGTCAGGTGAGGTGACCACAAACATCTTATATTCTGTGTAAGCTGAGGTGACCACAAACATCTTATGTTCTGTTTCAGGTGAGGTGACCACAAACATCTTACATTCTGTGTAAGGTGAGGTGACCACAAACATCTTTTGTTCTGTGTCAGGTGAGGTGACCACTGACATCTTACGTTCTGTGTTAGGTGGGGTGATCACTGACATCTAATGTTCTGTGTTAGGTGAGGTGATTACAAACATCTAATGTTCTGTGTCAGGTGAGGTGATTACAAACATCTTATGTTCTGTGTCAGGTGAGGTGATTACAAACATCTTATGTTCTGTGTCAGGTGAGGTGATTACAAACATCTAATGTTCTGTGTCAGGTGAGGTGATCACTGACATCTTACGTTCTGTGTTAGGTGAGGTGATCACTGACATCTAATGTTCTGTGTCAGGTGAGGTGATTACAAACATCTAATGTTCTGTGTCAGGTGAGGTGATCACTGACATCTAATGTTCTGTGTCAGGTGAGGTGATCACTAACATCTAATGTTCTGTGTCAGGTGAGGTGATCACTAACATCTAATGTTCTGTGTCAGGTGAGGTGATCACTAACATCTAATGTTCTGTATTAGGTGAGGTGACCACAAACATCTAATGTTCTGTGTCAGGTGAGGTGATTACAAACATCTTATGTTCTGTGTTAGGTGAGGTATCCACTGACATCTTACGTTCTGTGTCAGGTGAGGTGATTACAAACATCTAATGTTCTGTGTTAGGTGAGGTGATCACTGACATCTAATGTTCTGTGTCAGGTGAGGTGATCACTGACATCTAATGTTCTGTGTAAGGTGAGGTGACAACTAACATCTTATGTTCTGTGTAAGGTGAGGTGACCACTGACATCTAATGTTCTGTGTTAGGTGAGGTGATCACTGACATCTAATGTTCTGTGTCAGGTGAGGTGATCACTGACATCTAATGTTCTGTGTTAGGTGAGGTGATCACTGACATCTAATGTTCTGTGTAAGGTGAGGTGACCACTGACATCTAATGTTCTGTGTCAGGTGAGGTATCCACTGACATCTAATGTTCTGTGTTAGGTGAGGTGACCACAAACATCTAATGTTCTGTGTCAGGTGAGGTTATTACAAACATCTTATGTTCTGTGTTAGGTGAGGTATCCACTGACATCTTACGTTCTGTGTCAGGTGAGGTGATTACAAACATCTAATGTTCTGTGTTAGGTGAGGTGATCACTAACATCTAATGTTCTGTGTTAGGTGAGGTGACCACTGACATCTAATGTTCTGTGTCAGGTGAGGTGACCACTGACATCTAATGTTCTGTGTCAGGTGAGGTGACCACTGACATCTTATGTTCTGTGTCAGGTGAGGTGACCACTGACATCTAATGTTCTGTGTCAGGTGAGGTGACCACTGACATCTTATGTTCTGTGTCAGGTGAGGTGACCACTGACATCTAATGTTCTGTGTCAGGTGAGGTGACCACTGACATCTTATGTTCTGTGTCAGGTGAGGTGACCACTGACATCTAATGTTCTGTGTAAGGTGAGGTGACCACTGACATCTTATGTTCTGTGTTTGGTGAGGTGATCACTGACATCTTATGTTCTGTGATCTGTCCCCAGCTGAAGTCCCTTCAGGGTAAACTCCATGGAGCCCTGGTGGAGTTTTTTAAGGTCAGCAACCTCTATGGTACCACAGCCTTGTCCACGCTGGAACAGGAGTCCTTGGTGAATGCTGGGAGAGTTTCTGAGCTTCATGTCAACATGCAGCAAGCACTTGATGACATTGCACAGTTTCTGAATGCCCGAAGGGAGGGAAAACTGGCTAAAGTGTCCACAGTAGGATCTGTCTGGACGGGAACTGAACACTCCCCTGTTGTAACATTTGAAGATGGGGTCAAGGCTGCAAAGCCAAAATTTAGGGTTGAGGTTAAACAGTTGTAGCTGCATGGATAATTGACTGTCCAGAGGTTAAATGTCATACACTATCCATCCAAAGAGCATTAGTTATTGACTATCCAGAAAATATAGATGCAACACCATCCATCACATCAAAGATACAACATCACAGCACAGATACAATATCACAGCACAAATACAACAACACAGCAAAGATACATCATTACAGCACAGATACATCATCACAATACAGATATGACATCACAATACAGATACAACAATACAGCACAGATACGTCATCACAGAAAATATACAACATCACATCACAGATACAAAAAACACATATACAGCATCACAGAACAGATACAACATCACAGCAAAGATACAACATTACAGCACAGATACAACATCACAGCACAGATACAACAGCACAGATACAATATCACACCCCAGATACAACAACACAACACAGATACATCATCACAGAAAAGATACATCATCACAGCACAGATAGAACAACACAGCACAGATACATCATCACAGAAAAGATACATCACAGTACAGATACATCATCACAGAAAAGATACAACATCACATCACAGATTCAAAAACACAGATACAACATCATAGCATAGTTGCAACATCACAGCACAATATAACATCACAGCACACATACAATATCACACCCCAGATACAACAACATAGCACAGATACATCGTCACAGAGAAGATACATCACAGTACAGTTACATCATCACAGAAAAGATACAACATCACATCACAGATACAAAAACACAACATCATAGCATAGCTGCAACATCACAGATACAACATCACAGCACAGTACAACATCACATCACACATACAATATCACACCCCAGATACAACAACATAGCAGATACATCGTCACAGAAAAGATACAAAATTTCAGTGCATATACAACAATGCAGTACGGATACAACAATACAGCACGGATACATCTTTACAGAAAAGATACATCACATCATGTGTACAATAACACAGATACAACATCACAGCACAGCTGCATCATCACAGATACAACACCACAGCACAGATACAACATTACAGCACAGATACAATATCACAACTGAGATACAACATCACATATACATCATAGCACAGATACATAACAGCAAAGCAAAGATAAAACATCACAACAAGGGTTGATAAGTACAGGCAACTGGCCACTAATGTAACTCTTGTGGTTGCTTGAAAATTTGTGCAGTTACTTACAAGTCCTGTATTTGTTTGTTTAAGTGCATGTGTCCTGAATAAACACGATTCAAACCCCTATGGTTCAGTCCAACTGCAACTGGATTGCCACCTCTGTGGCTCATATCCACGGGTTACCATTGTTGTAGTCCCAGAAATATTGTATGCAATGACAACATTTATATTGGATGCAATAACAACATTTCAGCAACAGAGAGCTGCCATAAAACTAAACTAGAGATGTGTGGATTCATGTAACAACTTGTCTAAATAAAGTTTGTTATCTGAAAACATTCTTCTTCTTCTTTTGCCAATATCTGCCGCTAGGCATCATATCATCAGACAATTGGCAGCCGAGCCAGGGCGCTTTCTGTCGCTTGATATGCCATGATGTTATGCAGTCTCAAGGTGTCAGTGACTACTTCAATCCATTTTCTTCTCAGTCTTCCCCTGCCTCTTGGTGTTTCGATTTTTAGGTTGTACATTCTTGCTGCTGGCATCGTAGGTTTAATTCTCATTAGATGGCCAAACCATTTTATTCTTTGTTTTTCAATAAACTTGACGTTAGGTGTTGTTCCAACAGTTCTTATAATCATATTGTTTCTCACTCAATCTCTTCTGCTTTTATTCACAGCAATTCTCAAAGATCTCATCTCACAGCTGGTTAGTTTACTTTTTGTTCTGTTGTCAGTGTCCAAGTCTGACGCTGGTAACGTCCAGTCTGACGCTGGTAACCTCCAGTCTGACGCTGGTAACGTCCAGTCTGACGCTGGTAACTTCCAGCCTGACGCTGGTAACCTCCAGTCTGACGCTGGTAACCTCCAGTCTGACGCTGGTAACCTCCAGTCTGACGCTGGTAACCTCCAGCCTGTCGCTGGTAACCTCCAGCCTGACGCTGGTAACTTCCAGCCTGACGCTGGTAACCTCCAGTCTGACGCTGGTAACCTCCAGTCTGACGCTGGTAACCTCCAGTCTGACGCTGGTAACCTCCAGCCTGACGCTGGTAACTTCCAGCCTGACGCTGGTAACCTCCAGTCTGACGCTGGGAACCTCCAGTCTGACGCTGGTAACCTCCAGTCTGACGCTGGTAACCTCCAGTCTGACGCTGGTAACCTCCAGTCTGACGCTGGTAACCTCCAGTCTGACGCTGGTAACCTAAAGTCGGTGTAAATATTGTATCTATTTTTTGTCTCTACTGGGATAGCAGAGTGTTTTAAAACTGGAGCAGGTTAGTACGTAACATTGTGGGCTTATTGGATTCTTGTTTCTATCATTCTATCTGACTGTGTAAGGATGGTTCCCAAGTATTTAAATTCTTGCACTTCTTTCAGACTTGGATCTTTATGTCGATGGTTTGTTGCCGTCCTCATATTCGCATAAGGTCCCCCCCCCCTCCTACCCCCACCCCCACCCCCACCATTGATCTTCATGTGATATTGAAGGCAACTGTTGTGTGGTTGGTTAATGTTGTCCTACAGCTGTTTACCTTCCCTGTGGTGTGGTTGGTTGATGTGGTCCTGCAGCTGTTTACCTTCCCTGTGGTGTGGTTGGTTGATGTTATCCTTCAGCTGTTTACCTTCCCTGTTGTGTGGTTGGTTGATGCTATCCTTCAGCTGTTTACCTTCCCTGTGGTGTGGTTGGTTGATGTTGTCCTGCAGCTGTTTACTTTCCTTGTGGTGTGGTTGGTTGATGTGGTCCTTCAGCTGTTTACCTTCACTGTGGTGTGGTTGGTTGATGTGGTCCTTCAGCTGTTTACCTTCACTGTGGTGTGGTTGGTTGATGTGGTCCTGCAGCTGTTTACCTTCACTGTGGTGTGGTTGGTTGATGTGGTCCTGCAGCTGTTTACCTTCCCTGTGGTGTGGTTGGTTGATGTTATCCTTCAGCTGTTTACCTTCCCTGTGGTGTGGTTGGTTGATGTTGTCCTACAGCTGTTTACTTTCCTTGTGGTGTGGTTGGTTGATGTGGTCCTTCAGCTGTTTACCTTCCCTGTGGTGTGGTTGGTTGATGTTGTCCTGCAGCTGTTTACCTTCACTGTGGTGTGGTTGGTTGATGTGGTCCTACAGCTGTTTACCTTCCCTGTGGTGTGGTTGGTTGATGTTGTCCTGCAGCTGTTTACCTTCACTGTGGTGTGGTTGGTTGATGTGGTCCTGCAGCTGTTTACCTTCACTGTTGTGTGGTTGGTTGATGTTATCCTTCAGCTGTTTACCTTCCCTGTGGTGTGGTTGGTTGATGTTATCCTGCAGCTGTTTACTTTCCTTGTGGTGTGGCTGGTTGATGTTGTCCTACAGCTGTTTACCTTCACTGTGGTGTGGTTGGTTGATGTGGTCCTGCAGCTGTTTACCTTCACTGTGGTGTGGTTGGTTGATGTGGTCCTACAGCTGTTTACCTTCCCTGTGGTGTGGTTGGTTGATGTTGTCCTACAGCTGTTTACCTTCCCTGTGGTGTGGTTGGTTGATGTTGTCCTACAGCTGTTTACCTTCACTGTGGTGTGGCTGGTTGATGTGGTCCTACAGCTGTTTACCTTCACTGTGGTGTGGTTGGTTGATGTGGTCCTACAGCTGTTTACCTTCACTGTGGTGTGGTTGGTTGATGTTGTCCTACAGCTGTTTACCTTCACTGTGGTGTGGTTGGTTGATGTGGTCCTACAGCTGTTTACCTTCACTGTGGTGTGGTTGGTTGATGTTGTCCTACAGCTGTTTACCTTCACTGTGGTGTGGTTGGTTGATGTTGTCCTACAGCTGTTTACCTTCCCTGTGGTGTGGTTGGTTGATGTTGTCCTACAGCTGTTTACCTTCACTGTGGTGTGGTTGGTTGATGTGGTCCTACAGCTGTTTACCTTCACTGTGGTGTGGTTGGTTGATGTGGTCCTGCAGCTGTTTACCTTCACTGTGGTGTGGCTGGTTGATGTGGTCCTACAGCTGTTTACCTTCACTGTGGTGTGGCTGGTTGATGTGGTCCTACAGCTGTTTACCTTCCCTGTGGTGTGGTTGGTTGATGTGGTCCTACAGCTGTTTACCTTCACTGTGGTGTGGTTGGTTGATGTGGTCCTGCAGCTGTTTACCTTCACTGTGGTGTGGTTGGTTGATGTGGTCCTGCAGCTGTTTACCTTCACTGTGGTGTGGTTGGTTGATGTGGTCCTTCAGCTGTTTACCTTCCCTGTGGTGTGGTTGGTTGATGTTGTCCTACAGCTGTTTACCTTCCCTGTGGTGTGGTTGGTTGATGTGGTCCTGCAGCTGTTTACCTTCACTGTGGTGTGGTTGGTTGATGTGGTCCTGCAGCTGTTTACCTTCACTGTGGTGTGGTTGGTTGATGTTGTCCTTCAGCTGTTTACCTTCACTGTGGTGTGGTTGGTTGATGTTGTCCTACAGCTGTTTACCTTCACTGTGGTGTGGTTGGTTGATGTGGTCCTACAGCTGTTTACCTTCACTGTGGTGTGGTTGGTTGATGTTGTCCTTCAGCTGTTTACCTTGACTGTGGTGTGGTTGGTTGATGTGGTCCTGCAGCTGTTTACTTTCACTGTGGTGTGGTTGGTTGATGTGGTCCTGCAGCTGTTTACTTTCACTGTGGTGTGGTTGGTTGATGTGGTCCTTCAGCTGTTTACCTTGTTTGTGGAATATGCCTCAGATCGTCGGCAAAAAGAAGCCCATTGAAGTGCTCCTGTTTATCAACATCTGGTGGTGTTAGGTCTGTTTATTGACATCTGGTTTTGTGGTGTCTGTTTATTGACATCTGGTAGTGCTATGTCTGTTTATCAACATCTGGTGGTGTTATGTCTGTTTATCAACATCTGGTGGTGTGATGTCTGTTTATCGACATCTGGTGGTGCTATGTCTGTTTATCGACATGTGTTGGTGTTATGTTATATCTGTTTGATGAATATTGTCCATGAAAAGTCCAGCTGAAACAGTCGGAAAACATTGGTGGCCTTGTTCAATGCCCAGCTGCCTTACAGCCTGAGGGAGACTGAGCACGGCTGGGAGGTTTCAAAGAGCAGTCATTTCCTGTTTCCTTCAGACACACAGACACACGGCCGCGCGCATTGACACACTCACACAGACACACCACGCATGCACACCCAGACAGATACGCGCGCACACTCACACTCACACATACGCCCCCCCCCCACACACACACACACGAGATGCAGTTTTCCTAGTGAAAAGCAGCAGAAGATGTGGGTGGTCACTTGACACTGTGTAACGTCATCACACACCTCATGCCGAATCCGAGGCTGGATAATTTGCGAGTAGCCGCGGGGAATCGTCTCCGATGTTGTTTAAACAGACGTCAGCTCACAGGAATGCCACAGCCGTGTTGTCACGTGACTCCATGGCCAGTGTCCGGAAGAGCCAGCAATTAGAGAGCGGGACAACATTAATGAGTATATGCTTGTTGACGGTCTTTGACGTCATCGGTCATCTGACATCAGGATCGTGATGTTAAATGCTGGTCTTCGACGTCATCGGTCATCTGACATCAGTGTCATGATGTTAAAGGCTGGTCTTTGACGTCATTTGACATCAGGGTCGTGATGTTTAAGGCTGGTCTTTGACGTCATCGGTCATCTGACATCAGTGTCATGATGTTAAAGGCTGGTCTGTGACGTCATCTGGCATCAGGGCGGTGATGTTAAAAGTTGGTCTTTGACTTCATTTGACATCAGTCCATGATGTTAAAGGCTGGTCTTTGACTTCATTTGACATCAGTCCATGATGTTAAAGGCTGGTCTTTGACTTCATTTGACATCAGTCCATGATGTTAAAGGCTGGTCTTTGACTTCATCTAACATCAGTCCATGATGTTAAAGGCTGGTCTTTGACTTCATTTGACATCAGTCCATGATGTTAAAGGCTGGTCTTTGACTTCATTTGACATCAGTCCATGATGTTAAAGGCTGGTCTTTGACTTCATCTAACATCAGTCCATGATGTTAAAGGCTGGTCTTTGACTTCATCTAACATCAGTCCATGATGTTAAAGGCTGGTCTTTGACTTCATTTGACATCAGTCCATGATCTTAAAGGCTGGTCTTTGACGTCATCTGACATCAGTCCATGATGTTAAAGGCTGGTCTTTGACTTCATCTAACATCAGTCCATGATGTTAAAGGCTGGTCTTTGACATTAGGGCCACTATGTCACAGGCTCAGCTTTGACGTCATCGGTCATCTGATATCAGGCCTTGATGGTTCAGGCAGACCACCTGCCGCGTGCGAAATGTTCGCTTGATACACCACACACTTGCCAAGTATCCAGGTATGCTCAATAGTGTCACAGTTACAAGTCACCACTCCCGCCCAACTGCAATAAAGGACGCCGGATACATGTTGAACGTCAAAACAGAATTAATGTATTTCAACACCAAGACACTGAATCCACATGAATTTCTATACTGCTACAATCATTCTCACTATCAAGGCGACGCAGACTCAGGGCGCTCTGGACGACTTCTACTGCCACTCTGTTCAGTGGTTAACTACGAGCAAACATTACTTGCTCGTGCAAACCCATCACTCGTGATTACGTGTCTATCTCTATGACACCCATCCCTTGGGTACACTGTCACTAAAAAAATCATGCAGGCCGATGCACAATACCTTGTGAAGATTATCCAGACCTACCGTCTGCGGCCTGACACGTACTTGAGATCTCCCATCTCACCACACGAGCTTCTGTCACGCTGGCCCGGCCTTTGCGGTATCTCTCGCCGATAGCCTGTATGCCTAACGCCAGCGTAACATGCGGGTGTGCAGGACTAGTCTAGCAACACCCAGACTAGAACCTACATCACCGCATCCTTCCTCTCAATATATTGCACACAACACCACCCCTCCCCCAAGACACACACACATATACACACGCACACGATGTTTGAGGCTGGGTGCAAGGGGCCGAACCTCTGGATTTCATCATCTTTGACTTCTGATGTCCTGTTGATTGCAACAGATTACCGATCCCAGGCATAGTGGCCATGCCAGAACTGGTTCAGTAATCACACAAGAACTGGCACACCGTCAGCTGGAGTTAGAAAATTTGGTGGAGCTGGAGTTAGAGAACTTGGTGGCGCTGGAGTTAGAGAACTTGGTGGAGCTGGAGTTAGAGAACTTGGTGGAGCTGGAGTTAGAGAACTTGGTGGAGCTGGAGTTAGAGAACTTGGTAAAGCTGGAGTTAG